ATACCACTTGTACTTTCATATATACCACTTGTACCAAGAAATATACCACTTGTACTAAGAAATATACCACTTATACTAAGAAATATACTGTGTACTAACAAATATACCACTTGTACTAACATATATACCACTTATACTAACAAATATACCACTTATACTAAGAAATATACCACTTGTACTAACAAATATACCACTTGTACTAACAAATATACCACTTGTACTAACAAATATACCACTTGTACTTTCATATATACCACTTGTACCAAGAAATATACCACTTGTACTAACAAATATACCACTTATACTAAGAAATATACTGTGTACTAACAAATATACCACTTGTACTAACATATGTACTACTTGTACTAAGAAATATACCACTTATACTAAGAAATATACTGTGTACTAACAAATATACCACTTGTACTAACATATATACCACTTATACTAACAAATATACCACTTATACTAAGAAATATACCACTTGTACTAACAAATATACCACTTGTACTAACAAATATACCACTTGTACTAACAAATATACCACTTGTACTTTCAGATATACCACTTGTACCAAGAAATATACCACTTGTACTAACATATATACCACTTATACTAACAAATATGCTTAATTGAAAAACAATAGACAGTGACGCTTTTACATGACAGACAATCCCTGTGCCATGTTTGGCTTCTGTTTTACCTGCCTATCTGTATGTGTGTTTTGAACTATGACTTGACAACCAACTTACATCTGACATCTTATGTCACATTTTCCATTCACCTTCTCAACATAAGATCCATATCAAAGAGTGAGAAGAGTTGTTGAGTTGAGGGTTTCTCCAGGTACTCAGAGATTCATCACCAGAGAACTTGCATTCATATCTACATCCAGTAGTTCAATCACATTGCATTTGTTATCTCTAACAAGCTCCCTAAATAGAGCTTTTGTAGATTTTATAATAGCACAGACAATAGCTTCACCAAGTTATTTTGATAATATAACTTGTTCACTCATATTTTTCTGAGGTGGGAATTTCTTCATTTAACAATTTCTTCAGATATTTTCTCTGATTGTCTCAAACATCAACAATAATGTTTTGCTTGAGGATATGTACACAGGACAGGAGTCAGAGGCAAACTTCACATTCTAGCTCTCTAAAGAAGTGACTTTTTTTTAAATTTCTTAGGACAGTCTGAATGATACCCGACTTTTTCCAGCTTGGACTAGACAACAAATCTGATAGAAATGTCATTTTGATTTCTACCATGTGTTGTAGTATTTTATCAAAGCTCGGATCAGCAACAAGAGTCACATTTGCATACTACACATACATGTGGTACAGCTATAGTTTCAGATATGGTTGATTTCTTCATTTTGTATTGAATATTTGTAACCAGAAGGCTTCAACATTCATTCAAGAAACTGAAAAAATAATTTATACATACAATTCAGGACATATATTACTTATGAAGCTCATCAGAGATCAACGTTTGTTACCTCATTGCAGACAAGCTTTTTCTTAAGGAGTTTTAAAAATGTTCACTTTAATAATCAAATAATATAAGGTTATTACGAGAATACGTCAAAGTATGCACAAAGACAGTACAGCTGTAGTATCAACCAACACGCAGTGGAGGTCAATGCAACGGAGTAGTCCGAGTGCTTACTTTGAGGTATTATCGTAATAACCTTATTATTATGCATCTTTTCCTTCCAAAGATACATCATGGGAATTTCGAAATTCAAAAAGTTTAGAAGAGAATGAGTGAACTTCTTTGTGTGAGGTCCGGTCAAACCCCGATGGAAGCCATGTTTGTTTTTTTATTAGAGCATGATAAAGCGCGTAATCATTCGCATTTCCTTATCTGGTAGGATGAAAATACTGTGGTCAATTTTTTTCACTGATTCAGATCAAGGTAATGACGTCACTGAAAACCCTAGCATTACCATCTAACCTAATTATTTATTCTGAGCATGCTCAGTTGTTCTCTCAGTGTTGTTGGGAGAGGGAAATTTATGATGAAAATTGTGACTTTTTCAGATCTGCAACAAATTATGAGCTTGTTGACCAGATTATTGTTCATCAACCTGTCAAGCTTCATTGATATCTGCAGAATTTCTGAGAAAATGCTGAAAACGAACACAGACATCTGGACATAATGCTGCAAGGACATCTGGAAGGATATCTGGAGTGAACCCAGAATAGTACTCCCCTTTTTAGGGACTAAAAAGCACACACATAAAAAAAGATGAAATACAGCTCAATTTTATTGCTCTTATTGCAAGCAAGTAACAGAATAAACTCAATTAGTGTAACAAAAACATAACTTAAGCTGAGTAGAACTAGGCAACTGATAAGAAAACAGGGAACAGTTGAAGACTTGACTTTCAGAAAGTTTACAGACATCTAGGTATACAATTCGGCACAATATATATAATTTCCAATTGCTATGACAACATGAAGTATAATAATACAGCATAAACTATTTTTTGTTCATACATAGCTAATGACCAGGCATCAAAACCATTGTTCACATGGTACAGCGCCCTCAAATACAAAGCAGTTTACAATCGACTGTAAACCTTTTAATTTTCATGATATGCCACATTTCACAAAAATCATTCTGTGCTTTCAGAACACCAGTGAAATGTTTACCGCTACAAAAGTTGTGGTGTTCCCTGACATTAGTCTCTTTGTGAAATGCATATGATATACAGTATATAACTGACAATCTATTTATTTACTAGATACCTAAAAAATTGTAAAAGGAAGCATTGTCTTTCAAAACAGTGAAATCAAATTTCAGCAAAAATTAACGACTGATGAGATCCAAGGTTAAACGCCACAAAAATGCGACTCACCAAGCATTGCAAACATTATTTCAATTATAAATATTTCTGATAAAATATAAATTCCTTACATTCAGCATTAAGTACCGTAGACCAATTTTTATACCAAAATTACAAAAATATATTATATTAAAGCACCAACACACAGTGCATTTTGTCACATAAATTCACATCTATTCTACTGGAATACGCTCAAGGTGATTCGTCAGTAATTCTTGGATATATCTGCATTTTTGAAAAAAAGTTAAATTTGAATGGTTAATGTTCCGTAATTATGTATTTCCAATATCAACGTTTGTAAGATAAATAGACATAGTCTGGGTAACCGACAACCATACCACTAAATGGAGTCTGGGTAACTGACAATGGTGCTGCTAAATGTACATCGTCTGGGTACCTGACAACTGTGACATTGGATTGTACATTGTTTGTACATTGATAGTTACCAGAGCAAAGATTGTCATCCCATTTTAGACATCATTTCCCATTGTATACAGGTACTGATCACAATTCTTGACAAAATACGAATGAAATTATGCAGGTTTATTTGAAAGACAACAAAATGGTCTTTGGTGTTCAAAAGGTTAAAATCTGATTAAGACATCATATTTATCTTACACCTCTATGGAGATATGCAAATAAGTATGGTTTCAGTAACGTTTCAATGTATTAAAGTATTCTACACTACCATTTTATTATTTTATTGCTAATTTTTTTCTTGGTTTCAAAGTCGACAATGGTGGTGAAAAGGTCAAAGTTGACAACAGCGGTGAAAGGGCCAAAGTTGACAACGGAGGTAAAAGGGGTCAAAGTTGACAATGGAGGTGAAAGAGTCAAAGTTGACAATGGTGGTGGTGAAAGGGTCAAAGTTGACAATGGCGGTGATGGGGTCAAAGTTGACAATGGCGGTGATGGGGTCAAAGTTGACAATGGCGGTGATGGGTCAAAGTTGACAAAGTAGTTTAGAAAAATCTATGTAACTCACTCAATTTGAAATTTGTTATCTGAAAAGTAAAATAACCTGTATATGATAATTCATCTATTAGCACACATTACAAATCTAACACAAATGAAAGATGGCGGTAATTCATACCTTGTCAGTGGCAGTTTGTATGTGTGACTTCTCAGGTCATCAGAGTAATCCAAATAAGCCCTAAAATTCAAAGGGTCTATACCACTCAACAAATGTGTTGTTTTTGATTGGCTAACTACTCAAGTTCTTTAACCAATCACGAACTTTTAGTCATGAAATGTTTTAAAGAACTGCTCTGATTTTCTACAATAAACATGTTCACATATTCAAGCAGATAGTGTGTACTTGGTCCAGGAGAGATCATACATTACATAAATGCTTTTTTTTTGGTCTCTGATATTCTCGGGGCGGACATCTTCACCACCTGGCAACCATCACGGTGAAAACAAAGACAGAAAACTCTCAGAAAACGGTACTTTGGGATGGTTGTTCAGACTCCCCTGAACAGTGTAACAATATTACCCCTGCGTGTGCAACGCATATAAGTTTGATTGTTCAGGATTACTTCAAAGTTGAGTTTCTGTTGTTTTCTCGAATTTTCACCGGCTCTTCACTCGACTTTCCGCGTTCCTCAGCAGCACATAGAACCCATAGAAATACGTGGTACAGTGGTGCGCGTCTTAGCAACGTAGAACGTCTTGTGAAGTAGCTCCACCTCCAGGGATAAACATCAAGAGAACATTATTTTGAAAAATGTTTGATCCCGTGCATTAGCCAATCAAGTTTAGTTGTCCATCCTCCACCGTGGGCAGCGTCAAACTGCTTCACAAAGTATAACAATGCTTCATCTTCTGTTCGATTCACTGCAAGCGTTTTCTGCAAATAATGCACGTCTTCAATGGTTTGAAGCTCAGGTATCCCAGATGACAACATCATCATAAAAAGACTGATGAATAGATTGGCATGTTTACGTAGTTTAACATATGCAGTAGAGCAGATTATCTGGAATCTAGCAAAGACAAATAATAATAAGTAAGAATGTAAGAATTGATGTGTAGTAAAATATGTGGACAATTTAAAATCACTACAAATTCTTGATATCATTTTTCCTGAGATAAATGTTACCTGACCTTCTTTCCCAATAGTTTTAAGTTCTACTATGGCAGACATTTTTTATTGAAATGTACAACTGAGGTTTATATAATTCAAAACTAGGATGGCACCCCAGGTTTTTTGTCCTCTGAGTTTGAATTAGCCAGTCATATAATGTTACAGTGTCAATGATCACAGCGTTAGCGACAGCAATCTAACAATGAATGATCGTA